AACGAATCACATGAACTATGAACAAAATTATATTTAAGGGTTGAACAACATAAACATACACTTTGAGAAATGAAGAACGAAAAAGAGATACAATGAGTTCATTTCATAATAAAAAAAAAAAAACTTTACTTGAATATATATATAAAAATAAACAGTTACTTATAAAAGTTATTAGTATATAAGTATAAAAGTTATTAGTATAAAAGTTATATATGTATATAAGTTATTAGATCGTTCTTTATTATTTTTACTTCATGTTTATTTTAAATTTTTCATTTTTATTATTAACTGGTGTAAATTAGAAAGTAACTTATAATTTCTCTAAATATTTTTTTATTTATTTTTTTTTTACTATTTAATCAAACTATACTCTTGTTTATGTATCTCTGAGGCTCCTTAGCCCACATTTTTGTTTCTCTGTATTATTCTAAAGGGACTCGTTCCAGAATAAATAAAGCATTATTATTATTTAAGAAAAAAATATGTGTTCAGGGATCAACCTCTGAAACACAAAAAATAACAATTGTCCAATTCAGAACTTCACCACCATTTTATGGCCACCATCTTGCTGCAAACCATTCCTGTAGAGTTAATCTGTTCATTTGGTGAAGTGTGCACACATTAAGGTACTTTCTTAAGAAATGGCAAGAAAAGACAATATGAGTTGCTAAACTCTAAGAGAACAGCCTGGTGGAGAAAGAAGAGATACTCAAACCCAAGAAGCTCAAATAAAGACTTGACAATCAAGCAATATGTAATTAATTTTTAAAGAACCACAAAATTGTACAAAGGCACAAATTTAATTTATTTTATTCAATTATATCCAATATAATATAATCATGTTCTCAATATTTTTTTTAATTTAATCAAGCATCAAATTTCAGTGATCCAACCTCATACAGTCCACACCAATTTTCACAATCACCAGAGCAACATAATTCACTTACAGATCATTGGGTAATATTTGGCTCAAACCAAATTACCGTGATTGAACAATATGTTTATATAATACGATAATTTTTTTTGCGTATGGGTGATAGGTATATTTGAAAATTTTTAAACAAAGCAACTGAATATATCGACAGCTACACTGCAAAATCCTGTAAGGATAATTTCTTTGGGAAATGGGGTTTTGATACTTCAATTCTTCTCTATGTAAAAACCCGTAATTTAAAAACCAGCAAATCGTGATGCAAAATACTGCAAGTTACAGTGAAGGTTATAGAGATTGTGTCTTTACAAAAAAAAAAACGTAATGAAATGCTCGATGAAAGATGGGCATGTAAATATAGAATGTACAAAGCGTTTTGAACATAGACTACTGTATCAATTAGCTTAATAAATAGGATAAAAATTTTAAATTTCTAACAGGTGGCCGTCCGGGTCTCTACCACGGACTATAACTTTTAAATACTATTAATTTCCTCGATACAAATTTTCTTCGATACAAATACGAATCGTGGAAAAAGCACACAACTATTATTTCTCAGCCGACATATAAAGAACTTTAAACTCATCTAACTACCCTTGATACAGAATGCTATGCAGATACAGTACTCCCGATCTCGAAACGTACCTTACATTCAAAGTCCATATAAAGACATCGAGATGTGTCAGTCAATTAAGAGTTGCGAACCCAGAACATATCAGAATCTATGCAAAAAAGGAACTTTTTCGATCGAGTCTCAAGAAACTTGTATATCATGCAGTCAATTCATCTACAATAGTCTACATCACATTCTCCTTCAAAACTTCCAAAACTTCATCTCAGAATCTTCTGATAACCACAACACCGAAACTATTGTATAGATAAGTTAAATAAAATTTACTATTATATGATGGGAGCACACAACGTGCATACACAAAATTATTGATCATAGCCCATGTTCTATTAATTGTTTGATTTAGTTTATCTTAAAAGTAATATCTTGTATATATATATAAATATTTTTATTTTTTATTGTTTCTATCATAGTAACAGGTTCATATAACTATTATTATGCAGTAATCGTTTTTAGTTTCTATTGTTATTCAAGTTTTATAAAACCCGTTCTACACGTAAAATATTGTAAATTTTATTTATTTTTAAACGATATGTGTATAACTTGTAAAACCATATTATTCTACAATAGCCAAGCTAGACTCTATTTGTACGGGGAACCGCCAAAAACAAATAAATTTCTATCTATCTTCTATCTACTATTAATTTAGCTAAATACGTTGTAGACAAGCCATTATTTTCTGGCAGCCTGTTTGTAGTGGAGTCGACCAATATTTTGGTGAATTCTGGGCTTAGCCTATTCCACTGTTTTTAAACCTTCTCTACAAGAAATTTTGAGTTTTCGAATTTCTACCTCCAATTTTGCCCACAGGCTTTCTATCACATGAAGATCTGGTGACTGTGGTGGAGTTTTTATAACTTTAGGGCAGATATAAAGTAGCCATTCCTTAAATAATACGGCAGATTGTTTGGGAATATTATCAGGATAAAAACTGTGCCGATTTTTCGCAATTTCATGCAAGTTTTTCTCAAATGGAAATATGTTTATTTCCTAATTTTCTACACCAGAAACTGTCATACACTCCAATTTGGGGTTAATAGTGACACCAATCTGCAGGTTTTGCAGTATGGATGATGATGAAACTAATAACAAGATACGTAGACGAGATTTTATAGCTAGGATGCTATGTACTTTTATTTCGGATGCGACTGCATTTCTCGATCATAAGATCTGCGTATTAATGGATCCTAACAACATATACGAGTTAGCAGAGTACTGGCATGTTTTAAGAAAAATAGGGGATCTGTGGACAGCAAAAAACCCCTATTTTCAAGAAGTTATAATAATTCAAATTTCCACTGTTTTAATATAGTTAGACATAGTTAAAAGTTTTTTCTACTAAATTAATTTCGTAAATTGTTATAACAATAAGATCTATAAATAATTTAAAAAGGAAGAATATCAATAAAGAGCTGCTTACAGAAACTGGTCGATGAGGCGCTGCAGTGCATCAATGCCGGAAAACCAATAACCATTATTGTTTAACTAAATATATTACGGCCAGATACAAAGAGATATAAAATGAAACGCTAAGGTCATAAACCAAAGAGGCCTGACAAACAAAACATTAAAGCGACAATGACCCAGACCCCACTACTATCTCTTAAGATAATGGCTAGGAGAACTAGGAAGCTCTCACACAGCTTTTATCTGTTATCGCCTGTTAATGTTCTGGTCCCACAGGCCGAGTTGAAGATGATGAGGAAATTATGTCCGAGGTGAAAGGAGTTCCCAAGCGAGCATCTTTTTCCCATTGAGTCAGAGCTCCACCGGAACTGCTTGCGAACACGCGAGTGAAGGAACGACACGAATACGTAATAACTAGCGATTCATTACATATAGTAAGGCCAACACGAAGCTCTGGGTGCAGGTTCGACCCTCAGCCATTGTCCTTCGTCTCTCCTTCAGGTGAAGAACAAGATCCCAGGATCGTACTGTAGGAAGGAGAATAGAAAGTACGGGTCACGCAGTCATGTCAGGCACAAAGGTTGCAATCGATACTGCCTCAATGGTTTCTCTAGAACAATGCAGTCTGCTCCTCGTTCACTATTTGCTTCTTAATGTCGTATTTCAGAGATGGAGATATAGTTGACTGTTAAAAGTTTAAGGATGAAAATAGTCAGGAAATGGCGTCATTAATGATGTTTATTAATTTTCAATAATGAACCATTGTGATCGACCAAAAAAATCCAAAACTTAACCCCCTCTCAAAATTTGAGGTTTCACGTTTCAGAATACGTGGAATTCGAAAAATGCATACAAATTTTTTGTTCGTCCGCCGTCCGCGCGAAAGAACCGAACCGATTTTTTTCAAATTTGGATATAAAATCAGAGGTTACCCGAGGATGATCCTTCTTCATCGACATTACTATCCGCCTTTTACTTTTACAAGATTGCGGTCGAAAAACCTGCGTTGCTGTAGACTGTAGCTCCTAAACGAAAGTACCGATTTCAATGAAACTTCGCTAAAGCCATTTTCTCGACGCCCTTTAAATGTATCTATATAACATACTTCAACGAAAAGAAGCTGGAAAAAAAGGTTACGAGGGATGGTAAAATTAAATTCCGAATAACTCAAAAAGGTTATACTTTTCTGTCGATGTTGTGTTAAGATGTTTCAAAGGTATTTAAATTTCATCGAAACCAAAGCACTATTAGTAGAGATATCGCGATTTTAAAATATTTTAGGTTTATTATTTTCAATATCGACCATTTTTTGTTTCGAAGCGATACATCAATAAAATTATAAATATAAAAGGGACCTTTTCACTCTGGCATTAATATTCTGCCCTCTCGCCTGGCCCAGGAAAACCCCATATAGCTGACAAGTTAAGAAGGGGAGAACAATAAAAAAAAGGATAGAAAACTCGTAACTTATCATCACCATTAACCTTACCATAACTGATAACGCTTATCAGGTCACACACCATAGGCGCAGACTTCGGCAATTGCTCCTTCTTCAAGGTAAATGTTGATGGCGAGAATATCATTATCTCCTCCACCAATCATTTGAGAAAAAAAAAAATCAATAATAAATAAGCTATCTGAATAAAATGTGTAAATTAAGTTAAGACTAAATCTTTTTTTTTCTAAATATTATGTAACTTCCACAATTCTCTATATTTTTTTGTATCTTGTCCGTTCTAGCACTGAAGAAGACCTGCAAAGTCGGGTCGAAACGTTGGTTTTTAATAAAATAGTTTTTCCACTATTTAGCCTATTTATGACCACCACCCCGGACCATCACCTTCCTTTAAAAAAAATATTTTTGGAGATGGATATTATTAAACGGCAATATAAAATTTAATTCACATTCGATTCCCAGCTTTTAAAAAATATATACAAATAAATGGGATGATAACATAATAATATATAATTGGCCCTAAATTCTCCAATCACCAGCAGCAATTGACAGTCGGAGCAGAAGGGACCCACTGAATGCCGGAACCACTTGGCATTCAGGGCCCGCTGCTACGAGTTGCTGTAACTAACAGCGGTACTTGGACGGGAGCAGTACCTGTTCCACATGGTAATTAGTTCCACTACGGTTCGGTTCCAAAAGGTTCTGCAAAACATCATTACGGCCGTAAATATTTCATGTGCAGGATATATCAGAACAGTTTGTTATATCAATATTATACAGTATACCTCAACGAGAACTCCCACAATTAGATAGGTACCTTTTTAGTTTCACTCCCTTATGTATGAAATATTTAGTAAGATACAGTATTGCGAATCTGTTCAACAAAAATACGGAATGTTTTGAGGTCTACTGAGTCAAATAACCAAGTCCCGCAAAATGGTCTGTGTATGTGAGTGTGTCTGAATGTATGTATGTGGCAGGTCTAGCTCAAAAACGAAAAGTCGTATGAAAGTGAAATTGCATATTTAAGGTTTGTAAATACCTGAGATGTTACAGCAACTTTTTCGTCTAATCTAATATACTTCAAACCGCGTTCATAAACTCCTTCAAGCAACTCCTATTCCACCAGCTACTAATGTTGTCCAAATGCGAGACCGAGACGAGTCTTGGTCTTGCAAACTTAGTCTTGATAATGCGCAAGACTCTCGCAACAGTCTAGTAGTTACTTATTAACTTATTACTATAGAGATATTACTATATATTTTTTAGATAAGAGAAACCTAACTAAGCCCGAATGAAAAATTTGAGGAGTTGAACGCAAAAGTATATTAGTTATTAACATACAGTAACTAAGATTGTCAAGCATTAGTAACTTTTTTGAATTCATTTTTATTAAAATACATGATTTTTTTTACCAGCCCTGGTCTTGGTCTTGCAACAATTAAGCGGCCTTGGTCTTGATCTCGCTAATTGCAAGACCAAGACCGATTTAGGGCAACACTACCAGCTATTACAAATTCAAACTTCTTTCAACAAATTCAAAAAGATTGTAAAAATTCCTACGATGGTCACCAGCAGTTAATTGATAGAAGCCATTTCATTTTTATTTATTTACTTTTTTTTCTTTCTCAGTATTTCTTGTATATATTTGTGTTTATCCTTAGTATGTTTTATAGATATTTATATTTTCCTTTGTATTGTTTGTATATAATTGTATTTTCCTAAGTATCTTTATATATATACATTTTTTTTTTACAATTTATTTCTTTATATATTAACAGTTATTATTGTGCTATTGTTTTAGTTCCAATATTGTAGCATTGAACCCCTATTACCCAACTGTTCTCGTTAATTTATCCTAAGAGCTATTATACTTAATTTATTACTAGTATTTTGTTATTATTCATTGTAATAGATCTTTTGGCCAGATTTATGGTTAATTTATATGAACAATACTGTTATTCTAAAGGGACCTAGTCCCAGAATAAAGAAGATTTTTCTATTCTATTCTATTCTATATATAAATATAAACGAAATATATATATATATTTACAATTTCTGTAATATGTTTTGTAGATCTTTGTATGATATATTCATGCCAGACTAATGTACATATTTTTTTTAACCCTACTATTATTCTAAGGAGACTTCAGTCCAAAAATAAAATTATTTTTCATTTCATTTCATTAATTTGAATCGGTCGATTGGTAGAATTGATCTTTATTTTTGTTTTTCTGGAGGACTTTGTTCCAGCATAAAGTTGCTTTTGTTTAAAGTTGCTTTGGATTCTAATCTGTAATATTATTTAGTTATCCCTGGAAAAAACAGTCTTCGCTTCAATATACTTTAAAGTTTGTCCCAAAGCTTTATTTATAGCGATTCCAAACAATAATTACAGGAGTCTGAGCTAGCAATATTTCCGTATTCAATGGGGTTATCAATAAAAACAACTCAGCGAATATAATTTAAAATAGAGAAAATTTATTTAGACCAACAGAATTTATCATGTCTCAATTCAACAAAGAGTAGTCAGAGAAACTCATCATCAGAAAAAAAAAACAAATCAGACATTTATTTATAAATATTTTGGCACTTAAAAGGCGCCGTATGTCTGACAAGAAGCCAAAGGATTTGATGAGAAAAAGAAATACTATTTTTAAAAAATTATTATTTCTTCCAAAGAAAATAGAAAGTTTCTAAAAATTACCAACACAGGAACATTCTAGAATACAAAGATTCGCTAATTTCGTGTTAGTCTATTCCTCCTGTGTATTTTGTCCCAAGGGCATAATAATGCCTGTTGCAAGGCGTGTTATGTCTGTTACAGCTCGAGACGTGATGTGAAAGAAATTATTACACCTCTAATGAGCTTACAATAGCACATAACGACTTCGCATGCAAAACGTCGGCGAATTTCAACCAAGTCTGAAGTTAGCAGACTATATCTAGCAAAATAATACACTGTCAATGTATTCACAAACTTCGCTGCTATTATATGCATATTATATGAAATATTTTATATGACATTATACTGTCTATATGAGCGATGTCCTTCATGCAAGAATCTAGTATGTTTTTCTAATATTTTTTTTTTGTTTATTCAATGACATATATATATATATATATATATATATATATATATATATATATATATAAATATATATACAAATGTATATATACAAATATATATAAATACAACAAGTGAATATGTACAAATTATAAATAATGACATGATCAGGCTTGAAGAGATACTACCGAGTGGTAGCACTCCCTAAACAATTCTAGCTAAGATCACGTGGCCATTTCCTTTTCAGACGCCTAGGAGGTTTATCAGGAATCGAGGAAGAAGCAAAGCTTGAAACAAGTGGATTCGGATGGGACTGGAGTTTATCATGAAAGTATAGATATCTGGCTCGGGCTAAATCAGCGATATATAGTACAATAAGGTATTTATGAATGGTTTTATTTGTGACAAAGGAATTCGATGCTTTGGTGGAGCCCCAAAGTTCAACTCTGTACTTCCATATATGTCTTATTACAGTTATGTAGATGAGTGTTTTCTAATTAATTTCTTATTAATTAATTAATTTATCGAAAAGATATATAATGATTTTAATTAAAGCTGTAAATAATTTTGTTTTTCCTATTGTCATTACAGATCTTGTAAATCATTTGCTGCTTTAACCAGCCTTCTTCATCTATGCATACCTTGCATATTTATTTCTAGTTTTCTGCATGCAGCTTTATTAATTATAAACAAGTAGTATTTAATATCAGGTGCTTGGCTAAGCGGATGCTCTGGTCCTGTTAAGCGGAGAGACGCAAACTATAGAACTAAATATGACAACGTTAATGAAACCCGGTAAAGAACTAGAGCACGAAATAAACACGGATAAGTGAAAATATATGGTTTGCTGCAAAAATGGCGATAATTCCGGTGATATCGATATAGAGGGTAATATGTTTGAACAGGTAGAGAAGTTTAGGTTTCTAGGGTCTGCGATAACTAGAAAAAACGAAATTGAAGAAGAGATTAAGGTTAGACTGAAGGCAGGAAATGCTTGTTATTTTTCTGCGACAAAACTACTTAGTTCGCGCCTCTTGTCCCGCAACTTAAAAACTAGAATCTATAAAACAATTATCTTGCCTACAGTTCTTTATGGATGCGAAACTTGGCCGCTTACATTAAGGGATGAGCAATGTCTTAAGATTTTTGAAAACAAAGTATTGCGTAGAATATTCGGACCGAAGAAGGATGAGTTAACCGGAGAGTTCAGACGGTTACACAACGCCGAATTGCGTGAGCTGTATCCGGTTAAAATATCATAGAGGTAATTACATCGCTTCGAATTAAATGGGCTTGGAAAATTATTGAACTTAGTAACGAAAGAATGTCCAAAAGGTTAATATTTGCTGTACCGAATGGTAAACGTCCGAGGGGTAGAAAAAGGGAAGGTGGGAAGATTGCATTAAAGGCCGATCTGAAGGGACTGGGTTTGGACGGCAACCGGTGGAAGGTGTGTAGGCTGCGATTGGTGGTGTCGGAATCGAACCTTCGGGTTCGCTAAGCCTTTTATTATTAGGTCTTGTCCTCACAAAAATAGTCCGGCTGAGCTCTGATGGCGAATTTTCAAAACTGCTACCTTAAAAAAACTTCTGTGGTTTCTTATCCGACTCCGACGAACACACATGACCGAAGGCTGTTTTATTTTGTTAGGATAAAAAATAATATCTGAAAACTAATAATTAAAGAAAACAAATGCTTCAATAGAAACTTTTATAATTATTTTTAAACGATTAACCAATTTGAGTGAAATTAATTTTTGAAATTCAAAAAATTTCGTTATGTAGTCATTTTTGGATCGATTATTTTTTTTTTTATTTATTTTTTTTTTTCAATCTCAAGAAACAGCACTTCTCGCATCAACAGTTTAAAAAATACCAACAGGAATTGTGCATTACTCCAAGACAATCCAATACATAGGTATTGACAATAAAATGGTAAAAGATATCTCTTTAAAAATAGTTATTTCAATTTTCCATGACATTTACTACAAATCTATTAATAACCTCGTCACTTTCCGAAACGTCTATGGGAAGACCACATGTATGTGCCTTACACGCTTCCGAGTTATGTCGAGGAAAAGTCGACCACAACCCGTAGAGAGTAGCTTACGGTGCACAAATCGATTCCAACAGTTACACAATGATGTCACAATTGATGCGGCAGGATGCAGTATCGATAATATCGATAACTAACCGAACAACCGCAAGGGAAAGGATTCTCTCATAGTCCAAGAGCCGGGTAGGAATTTTTGGGATTACGTGAAGAAACCATGCAGTCATATGCCGTTATAATGTCATAGCCACCCTCAACATTCAATTTGAATTAATCTGCCTAAACATTGAATTTATGATCCGCATTTTTAAATATTATAATTTAAACATGAAGTTATTATTGCTCTAGCTTTAGGTTAAAAATAAGACATAATATATAATTATAATATATCATCAGGCTCTGGCACAAAAATATAAATTAATAACAGGCCATCAGCCTTTTTATAGATATCAGCCGCAGGCTATATTAGAAAAAGGGAATGTCAAGCTATACTGGGATCAAACCATGATAACTGACCATAGTATTCTCCACAATAGACCAGATATAC